GGCATCTTTTTTTGAAGTTTCTTCCTTTTCAACGCCGTTTTTCGGCGATTTTGGATTTTCTTTGTATTTTTTCGCAATAATATTTGAAAAATAGATAAATTTTAACACATTTTAATGCAATAAAAATTTNTGGTCGGAGTCCCCCTTTAATTTTATGAAACTTATTTTTGTGATCCAAGTTTTGGGCATTCTAACAATTTTTGAATTTATTCAAATTTTGGTCCATAGCCTCAACACTGGAAATCTCCCCCATAATAAAAATTTCCAGCTTCTCTCATCTACCAAAAAAGGAGTCAACTTTTCAATTAGTACATCTGATAACGAACATAACATGAGAGCGGTGAGTTTTTGGTCCAAATGAATCTAATCAGGCCTAGTCTTAAAGGCCGGAAGATCTACTAACGCTCTAAATGATCTCTTTGGAACCCCGTCCGGAGGATCCAGTGCCCCTCCAAGACGAGCTGGAGGTCCTTCATCTCTTGATGATCTCTTCGGAACACCTTCAAAACCTTCTGTCCCATCTGCGTCCACGGCACCCCAGCCAGAGACTACTCAGGTGGCCCAGCCGACTTCTGCTGTTGCTGCTCAGCGTGATAATTTTGAGGCTGGGAGGATTTTGAGGTGAAACTGAATGTTCTATATTAAAAAATTAAATTTATGAAAACGCGGTTCAGTGCTTTCATGTATACATACCTTTCTCTAAACTGAAAATTTTTGAACATAATATTTTAATTGAAAAACGTTTATAGGGTTTCGAAATGATATTAAACCAAACTGATTTTGAGACTGAAATTTTAATCATAGAAAAAATCTAGGTCAATGCTATGGGTTTTCTTCGTGACTCTTTCAGAATTATACTATTGTCTGAAAGTACATAATTTCAAAACCTCTGAGAAAAACTGCACTTTCCAATTATGAAAAGTTCTGAAAGTTAACATTCAGACTCGAAACCGAACTAGATCGAGTCAACAGAGAGCTAGAAGACACTAAACGAAAGAAAAGAGAAGATGAAGAGGACCTGGAAAACTTTTGGAAAGCAAAACTAGAGGCCCAAAGCAAGGATAGTATCAAGACTGTGGATGATTTGAAAAATTCACATAAGGTGCAACTAGAGAAACTTCAACAGGAACATCATTCAGAGCTAGCGAGGATCAAGACAAATTTCGATAGGCAACTGGAGAACGTTACGTCTTCGACGAGTCAGGTGGGAGATTTGGTAGCTGTGGTGAGGAAGGTTGATAATATTTCAAACAATATCGACCGGATTGCTGCGGATGTTGTGTGAGTATTTAAACCTTTTTTGAAAACTTACACGTCTTGCAATTCGAATTCTGAACTATAACAAAACATATTTTCAGAGCAACCACCAACAAAGTGAGCTACGAGCAAACCGCGCTTCTGCAACTTCAGGAAGAACGGTTGAAAATGAAAGAGGAAAAGTGAGTCATCTTTTCAAATTTTGCTCTTTCTAACAATTCTGAAAATCATTCGAAGCTTTTGAAAGCCATATATATGTTTCAGACTTGCCGAGGACACATCAGCCTTCCGAGCGGAACAATTAAAAGTTCACGAGTTGAATTTGAGCTTGAAAGATTTGGTAAAACATCAACAGGATGCGATTGAGAAGGTAATTTGAAAGTTAATCAAGCCCTAAGTAACTTTTTAAAGGAAAAATGGAGGACAAAAGAAGAATGGAATCGATTGAAAGTGGAACGGCAGTTGTTCAAGGAAAATCAGGAGATAATCATAGGAAATATTGAAAGAGAGAAACAAAACTTGTCCGAGGAAATGGTGATAAATTATTTGATTCGTAAATTACAAATTCGAAGTTTAGAGAAATTTCCGAAAAAACCAAAACGATCTTCTGTTTCGTGTCAGCACAGAAAGAGAGCTTCTAGAGCAGGAGAAGGCTGAATTTTTTGCGTAAGTCTCGTCAATGATGTGATAAAAATAAATCTGAAATTTTTTAGTAAACGCGACCAGGACATTAAAAGAATTAAAGCCGAAGCATATGAGTTGGATTTGAAATCTCAACAGGTGTCGACTGCTGATCATCATGTGACCGAAATGAAGCTGGTGACCGAGGCCAAGTTTAGACAGGTAATATTCACAACGCAATCGGGCATAACCATATTGCCAATAAACACAATACTTTTCAGCTGCAACAACTAGAGACCCTTCTCTCTGCCGAATGTTCTGAAATCGAGCGAATGAGAAATGAACAAAAAATGAACAATTTGGCTCAATCAGCAATGCATCTGAATCTTGGAGAATCTGAAAGACGTCAAAGAAGAAGTAGAGGAGAAGAAGACGTGTTTGGATCCAACAACTCAAATCAGAATAGTCAGAGACGATCGGAAAGCGTTCGTGCTAGTCTGAAGAAACATTATGAAAATCTAGAAAAGTATGCGGGACAGAAAGTGGCAACTGTAGCACCGCAGAATAATTAGAAGCCTATTTTAATAAATATATATTTTCCTTTCGGTTCAAATTGTTTTAAGCAACTAATCAAGGTCTGAATGGTTTTGTAATCACAGTATTTTCCAGTCAAAATCAACTCTAATTGTTTAATTTGAAGAGAAGTTACAAGCCTTCTATGGTCTTTTTCCTTATCGCTTTTGTGATCTTGTGTTACTTTGTGTGATTTCTTTTCCGTTTTTTAACCAATTTACGTTTTTCAATTGAACAAAGACATTTTAACAGTTTAAACCTTCAAAAAGAACAAGACACAAATCAGAATCAATAGTCTTTGCCCGATTTCCTGTATACGTCGACAGAAACTATCGAATCAGTGTAGGCGGTTCTGATTGATAATGGCGTCGCCCGACGTTTTTCGAGACAAGAACTCAAAGAAACAACTTAGACAGAAAGAGACCGATGACATCACTAGATCTCAGAACATATAAAAGAAATCCAATTTTTCTGATCGCAAGACCTAGTTTGGGGCGTTTGTTTTGTTGCTTTTCGTACCGGAGTCTAGGTGTACTGGATGACCGTTTTTCAATGTAATATAATTTTTATTCACTGTTTTTTTTGTGTATAAGGAGAAGGACATCTGGAATAAGCCAAATTGAGTCAGCTGCACAAATACAATACCCTTTGAATCTTGAACAATTTCAATATTCCAGTTTGATTCATTCAGAAACTTAATATTCGAAGGAAGTTCCGAGTTAATCAAAAGTATCATTTTCCAGTTCATATATTTACCATTCTCCAGTCAGTGTATTCACAATTCTCTAGTTCATACATTTTCCCATTACCGCAATTGGTGTTCTTTCTTGATATTGATCACCTCCTTCAGCTTTATCTATATTCGTTTTCCAAACGTTTCCAAATTTTACTTTTCAGAAAATGCAAAAACTGACACTTGTGCTACTTCTCAGTATTCTTTGCATTGTCGCGTGTCAATGGGGTCCTGGTGGCTGGGGCGGTGGCCCTGGTCGATGGGGCGGATGGGGAGGAAACCGATGGGGTGGCGGAGGACCAGGAGGATGGGGTGAAAATAATGGAGGAGGCAATTGGGGAGGCAACAGAGGTGGAAATTGGGGTGGAAGTGAGTATTTATTCAGCCAACTATGTTTTCAGAACTTTCGAGAGCTCCAAAATAGTTCTCAAAAACATGCAAATATGTTCTCGAATTGTTTGAAAACTCCGAAGTTTACTGAAAGACAGATATTCATTTTGTGGTGAACGGTTTTTTGTTGCAAAAGTCATTTTAGAGGAGTACAATCATTTCACACTGATTTTAACTAACGATTTTTCGAATTTCAGAACAATCGTGCAATAGAAGGGCCACCTGACTTTTAACTTTTAGCTAAAAATTTTTCTCGGTTACTGTCAAAGATATGAAAATGATCTCAACTAATAAATTGCTTATCATAACATCATACACATATTATCAGTTAACACATTTTTATATCTTGCCTAGGGAAAAATTTGCTTAAACTTGGTGTGGGGTCTATTACAGGTTTTTCGGTATGTTTTTTGAAATCTGATTTTTTTCAAATTCTAAATTGTATCCTGAACTGAAGTTAAGAATTTCCAGATTTTAATTTGAAATCTCAGTTTCGAAGTTTTCCAGACAACGGAGGTCCTGGTGGCTGGAATGGAGGAGGTGGCCGTGGCGGTGGATGGGGTGGAAATAACGATGGGGGAAATTGGGGAGGCGGTGGACGTGGCGGATGGGGAGGAAGTGAGTGAAGTATTTGACACTCGTTTTTCTGTGTTTATATCTTTTTGAGAAAAGGAAACAAATATGTAACAAATCAAAATTTTCAGACAACGGTGGAGGCGGAGGAAATAACGAAGGTGGAAATTGGGGAGGCAGTGGACGTGACGGATGGGGAGGAAGTGAGTGAACTGTTCGAGATTAATTTCTCTTTGTTTATATATTTTTGAGTAAAGGAAACTCATTGATACAAAACAATTTTTCAGGCAAATAATTACAATTTTCAGACAACGGTGAAGGCGGAGGCCGAGGCGGTGGTAGACGAGGACCCCCAGGATCCGGAGGAGGAGATTGGGGAGGAAGTGAGTCTGATTATAGTTGAACGTTGACAGAATGCAAACTTTTGAGATATATTGTTCATACTTATTAAACTCGACAGAGGTTAAGTTATGCTTAACACTTGCACCGTCATGACTTTTTCAATCATAGTCATGCTAAGATGTTATACCTCTTAGCATTTCCCACATTTCACTTCTTATCCTGCTTCAAAACTTGGTTCGTCAACATAGTTATGCTTTTCAGACGGAGGAGGAGGTCGAGGAGGTGGCCGTGGAGGCGGTGGAGGACGTGGAGGAGAATCGACTGGAGAACGAATAGCTGAGAATGTTCTTGGCGCACTTTTGGGATGATTTCGATGTTATCTCAACTATCTTCACTAGTATTCAATTTCATATCGACGATTTCATTTCTGTTTATAATGAAAAATTTTGCAACCGGTTTTCTTGGGAAATGTTAAGAGAATAAAAATTGGTCAATGTGAAATGGACAAAGAAAATCTTATCGAAGTTATGAAGAAGAAGGCAGATCTTTTCCTACTTTTGAGAAGTTCAAGGACACAAAAACTAAAAAGTTTAGATAGAAATCTCAAAGAAATTTCTCTCGTATTTTCTAGAATTCTCAGAAGGCATCAAATTCAAAAATTGTAAATAAATCAAGACGTCAAACACAGAACATCGAAAAATGGCACAGAAAAACTATTTTCGGCGCGTTTGCTGCATACAAGCCTTCACAAGATGCCAAAGACAACAGCAGTTGAACTCGGATATTCAAAAACTGCAAATCATTTAGATTCAATTGGTATCGGTTTCAGACAATTCGGCTCTCTACAGAGAAAAGGCTGGTAGGCCTTTCGCTCATGTTGCCAGTTCAAGATTACCCTCAGAAAATGTGAAATAGGAAGAAGGATCATAAAACAGTTTCAGATTAACCGTTGTTGTTTTCAGATAATTTCGACCACTCATTTTCTCTGCTTTGCCTTTTGTGAAAACCTTTTCAAAAACCTCGATATTGAGAATGTTTCTTTTTAATTCGAAACGGAAGTTAGTTTTCCGGGTATTTCTAAATCATCGCCATCAATCAGATCAATTTTAGATCATGACGTATTTTTTAATTTGCCGAATACTTCCGATCTTATCATACTACAACGGATAGGTATCATTCAATAAATACTCTTTTTCTTTAGACTCTCTCATTATCGCATACACTCTTGTCAAAAGTTCAGCGTCAAAAAAGGTGGGTCTGTTTTGGAGAGAAGAGTATAAAAATGGGAGGAGATCTTATTTTTTGATCAGGGAGAAATTTTGATTGGTTTCTTCTCCGTTTATGGTCAAAATGTGTTTTAATTTTTCTTGCTCAACTCTTACTCAATTTATATCCATTTCAGAGCAATGAACGCCTTTATTCTCCTCTCTCTTCTTCTTGTCGGATTTGTCACTTGCCAATTTGGAGGGTTCGGATTCGGAGGGCAGCAGCAGTTCGGAGGACGCGGTGGACAATTCGGTGGACAACAACGCGGACAGTTCGGTAGTAAGTGAATTTGAAAAATATTTTGTTTCAAGTGCTTTCAGAATAATTTTTCAAATAATAGCAAAAACAATGAAAAATTCAAATGATAGAGTTTTCTAATGAATTGGTATAAGTTTCATAGGCCCATGATGTATAAGTTTCATAGGCCCATGATGACCAATTTGGACAAGGCTGGCGTGCCTCTGGCGTCGTTTTCAAAAATAAAGCAATAAAAAATAGAGGTCTTGAACTTTTGAACCAGATTCATTTTTATAATAAATTTTATGTAACAGAAAGTACCCCGATTATTGGAACATTCAAAAAATAAACTAGATTGGCGATGGGATAAACACTAAAATCATATCAAAACAAACAAAGACGCAATTTTCGTTGACCCAAAGTTACATGTGATTTAATATTTCAAAATTCATACTGCTTCTAATTTCCCGAAATTCAGATCGCGGATTCCAAGGACAACAAGGAGGCCAGTGGGGACAACAAGGAGGTAGATTCGGCGGTCAGCAAGGTTTCCAAGGTCGTGGTGGACAATTTGGAGGGCAACAGCAATTCGGTGGAAGAGGTGGACAGTTCGGTGGACAGCAAAACTTTGGAGGGCGTGGTGGATTCGGAGGATGGGGGAGAAAATAAATGGTTTTGTAGAATTTATGATTTTTAAAATGTAAAATCCTCAATAAAACTCTCTTGAATTTCTGCTGAGCTATTCTACAATCCACTTAAATGAGAACAACATTGAACAACTGAAATATCATAAAATTTGTGAAAATTTCCATAAAGTTAGGAATTTCAAAAATATTAAGCACAATGTTTTTAAAAACAAATTTTGATCCTAAAAACTCAACCTACTTTTGGTTTTTTTTTTCTATTCAGATTCAAAACATAATTCTCCAGCCATTTTTTTTCTGTTAATTCTGTTAACAGCCATTTTTTTCTGTTAATTGCCAAATGTCACTACATCTGGCGTTTAGCATAAAGGGAAATTACCATAGGCTACTGGCAGATGGAAAATGAATTAAATGGAACTAAAGAAAAAAATGGAGACATGCCAGAAAAAGAGGGAACAGCGGATGGGTAATAATTCACATCAAAAACTTGTCACTTTGGAGTGTTCCTTTCTGTTTCGGACAGTTTTCGGATGTTTGAATTGAATCATACGAAAATGGTAATAATTTGGCACTAACAATAACCCGGTCCGCTCGGTTAGCCTTTTGGAGCGAAAACGAGGTTTTTAATGAAAAAATTTTCATCCCTCCAAAAATGTTGGGATTTCGTTTTTTTTCGGTTTCATTCTCTCAAAACGAACAAGAATGTCCCCACATATTTCACTTTGTGTGTCTCGTTTTTCGTTTCTGTCGTTTACATGCAAATTGTGCAATTCCGGAAAAAGACAACGTCTTACTGTAATTGGTTTTTTCCGTTTAATAAATATTTTTCAAATTGACGAAATCATTATTTTATACGAACATTTACATGTAATGGACGAATTACGTGCTTATTACAATAAAAATGAATGTTAAGAATCAGTTATGAGATTCAGAAGAAAAAAAAAAACTAAAACCTAGATTTTAAAGTTTTCAAAAAACATTTTTGTGTGAAAAGGAGAATAAAATTAATGAAACGGGAAAATGTGAAACTCGTTGAAAAATGCATTCGATGGGAAAAATGAGAGAACTCAGAAAACTAAAAAAATTACAAAATATTCGACTTTTCAATTTTGAATTGACAGTGTCAGAATATTTGCTTTTTTTAAAATTTTTTTCAAAATTATACTACTGTTGTAGTTAGTATTATTAAACTTTGCTTAATGTATGGGAGAAAATTAATAAATACATGCACTGAGAGTGCAATCGTGATTGAATCACCGAGGGAAAATGGAGTATTCAAAACAACAATTTTTGGCTTTTTACTACTCATTTTTATGAGGACAAGCTGAAAGAACAGCTGACAAGGTTAGCATAGGATCCTGGATAGTAGCTGATGGATCCAAAAATGATAAAATTTGCTGATATCCGATGACTTGTTGGGCGCATTTGATACACATAGGAGTGGAAGGGTCGGAAGCCACAGGTGGGGTCGTGGCTGAAATTTCAGACATTGCAGACTCGTAACTTCGAATTATCGTTACTATTTCTCAGTCCCATCTTTTTGAAACTAGTTGTATTTTATTTTATTTTGTGACTTATTTCCAATTACACAGTAAATATGTTTCAAAAATCTCGCAGACTCCCTGCGAACATTTCATTACCTACCTGTTGGCGATGGAGTCATACTGTGAGACGGGGGTGCCTCGCGCTCGCTGTTCAAATTGTTCTTCTCGCGTTTCTGACGTCTTCTCAATTTTATTTGATCGGCCATCAACTTCTGACGCTCGACGACCACTTGACACTTCGGGCAATAGCAGTCCCGATATGGACATGCTCGCTTGTGGCCCTTTAGACGGTTTACCACACTGTGTTGAGCACATCGCTGGCAGTTTGGTCGACGTTCTGGAAGATAAATTATTGGTTAAGGTTTATGTTCAAGATGTAGAATTAGAAAGTTGAATAACAAAAACTCGGTCAGTTTGGAAAAAAGTAAACCTACAGAACTCGTTTACACAGGTGATTCGCGAACAATCCGTTACGGATTCTCCGCCATTCCCGCGCGGATGAAATAGGAATCGTATACGGACCGTACGCGAATCCGTAACGGATCCGTTTGCAACTTATTTCTTGAAAACCCTCGCCGTTCCTTTTTTCAGTTTCTATTATTTTTTGCTGAGTTTTCATGATAGTTGTATACATTGTATTCAACAATTTATTAGGACAACATGTAAAAGAAAGAAAAAACATCAGAAGTACAACATTAAGTTTGAAAATCCTGCTTTTTTGGGTTGTTGAACGATCATCCAAAACGAAAAGAGACCTGCAAAAAATTTGGGAATCTTTCAGAACATGTAGCATACTGATCACCTATTACTTATATCCTTTTTTGCTTTTTGGTTCCAATGTTTTTCTCGTTTTTAACGTTGGAGTCGGCTTGCTCTATAGATGTCCATTGCTGAAAAGTGGAAAAGTCATTGTTTCGAAAATTAGCGTATTTTTAATTAGCGTTTAAATTTGTGTTACAAACCTTTTTTCCTTGTAGAATCGTCTTTCGAAAAAAAATCATTGTCAAAAATCAACATATTTGCCAGGAAAAGTGAGAGAAAACGGCAAAAAATAGGTTTAAAATGCAAATAAATGATGCAAAAATATGATGGAAGAGGTAAGAGAAAGCTAGTCCCTCACAACTCGGCCATCCGGAACGGATCCGTTCGCAAATGGGCATGGGAGCTATCTCTCGACCTCCAGCTGCATCCGTATCCGGTCCGTTCGCGAACTCCGTATCCTGTCCGATTGCGAATGTTGAAAAAACGGATCCGTTCGCGAACTCAGATTCGCGAAACTGCCCATAACGGACCCGTTACGGATAGAAAACCTAGTGGACACCGAAACGGATCCGTTCGCATTTTACCTGTGTAAGCGAAAGTCAAATGAGACAAATAAACCCATTTCTTCCAATTTATATATTTTTCAAATTTTGAAGGGGAAAATTTAGCTATTAAAAATCTTCAAAAGTTGTTATTTATACCCTTTTTACCCAACCGTACCTGGTCGCGATTTCCAAACCGATGCTACAATGATAGAAGGTAGCATCTTAATATGAAAAAAACGTTGCAATGATTAAAAGATAACACTTTTGTGATTTTGGCTTTGCAATCTCCAACATTTAATGGGCTGAACAGCTGTTTTTGCCGTCCTCGTCACCGCCTGTGAACTAAAGAAATAGTGTGGAAAATGAAAGAAGATACAGAGAAAGCTGTCAAACTGAGAAGGTTTCTTCTTCGTTTTTTTTAGTGATAGGGGTCAAAAGACGTATGTGTATGTGTGTTCTGATGATTTGTCATGGAGGTCATGGGAACTTGATGATTACATTACTATCGAGAAAAAAAAAGTTGAGAGTGAATTTTGTAAACCTACTTTTACTTGACATTTTATTTACCTTGGAAACAGTAGAATACGAAAAAAATAAGGCAACCTTCCAGATTTCATTGTTTCAGAAGGATTTCCTGAGCGATCAGCATCGATTGGAAAAAATATTATAACTGCCTTCAAACGCAATATGTGATTGTATATCATTATTCAAGTTTCTTTGTATATCATTATACAATTTTTTCAAGAGCTACATATTGCAGTTTCGATCTAAAACGTAAAAAGTGCCCATTCTTTTAAATCTACTCAACAAACGTCCTAGTGCCCTTCAGCTCATACCGAGATACAACTTAATACGAATTTTAGCATTTTAAAGTCCTTAATGAATCCAACCAGTTTTTTCCTACTCAGTTCATCTTGAAACTTTGATTTTCGGGTGAGTTATACCCAAAACGATCATCACGTCTTTTTTGGCTTCACATCCCTCAATTTCCTGTTCCCTTTCAGATTTTTCTTCCTCCGATTCTTTCATAATTTTTTTGTTCTCTCCCAATCATAGTTCCAACTCTCTGAGCCAGTTGTTTCTCTCATTCAATACTAATCTCAAGTCTTCATCATCTCATCTCTCTCTTTCTTGTCAAAAAGCAATAAAATCGCAAAAATCTCCCTTCCTATGCAATGAGACGAGTTATAACCCTTCCGAAACATTCTGCTGGGCAACAGAAAAAGTGATTTTTTCTGGAACACTCTTTGTTCAGAAGTGTCGCCGAGAGCACTTAAAGACACAATTAAAACACTGGAGAGAAACTTGGATGCAGAGAAAAACGAATGGGCGAAATTCAGAGCTTGGGACAAGTCATTTTGTTATAATAAAAAAAATGAGAAAATTGCTCAGGCGGCACGTTTGAACTTTCAGATGCTCAAAGATAATAAAATACTGATAAGAATATACCTTTCGGCTTCCCGTCATCCTTATCCTCTCCACTACTCTCATTAGTGGTCTCCGACTGACTGGTACACTCCATTTGATCCTCTTCTGAAGATGCCAACGCCATTGCGAGGGTTGTTGGATTTGTTGACGACTTCTTGTGGTCCTCCTGACTGCCTTCGATTTGCATAAGACGCGAGTTGAGCTGACGACGACGTTCAACCATCTGGAGAAAAAGATGAGAAAATGTTTAAAGGGAAAAATAGGCTGGGCTTCGGGCACGGCTTCAAACATGATTTTTCAGCTTTTTTTGGAAATCTCTTGAAACGTGCTGCAAAACTATACAGTGTTCTACAAGTTTATAGGCCAACCCTGTTTTAAAGTTTCAGAAAATCCGTATTTCTATCATTTGATATTTTATAAATTAACTGAAATCGGATATCTATCGATTTGATACGGTTTGGGATGTACTGGGTGGTCTTGAACTGGACAAAAGTCGTGTGTGTTTAGGAAGATTAAGGTATCAGGTGCTGATGGTTTTCGTTGGAGCCTCCCAAATTTAGAAAACTCGAAACGTTGTGATTACTATTAAAAAAATAATTTTAAAAAAGAAAGGCATTTCGAGCTCGAATATTTTGATTTCTTTAAGATATATACAAAATCTGCACAACCTTAAACTGTTAGATATTTTGACTATGATATTATGACGAAGGTGTTATCTGCTGTCAAATTGTTGATATCTTTCATAGAAATCGAAACAATTGAGTTCGAAGTACAAGTATAAGATGACATGCTCTTACATTACTTACGGTATTTGACTTAGTACAGAAATCACTCATTTTAAAATTACAAATATTTTGATAAAAGAAACACCAAGGGAAAGTTATTCAAACTCACAATACAATTTGAGCACTGACAGAAGCGAAACGAACAAGACGCCTTATGATTCTTCCGCTTCTCTCGAAGGCCATGGTTGAGACATCTGAAATTTTTGTATTGTAATTTGTTGATACAGAAACCAGTACCTCTGACAATAGTATACACGTTTTTCGCCAAATAGTTCTGGCAAGATTTCCTCTATATTCATCATGAGAATATCTGAAAACATGAATCTGAAAATTTTTGAGAGGGCAATATTAGAGGAACAACAAGAACGAAAGTATGTAAACAAATAAAAAGGTTCCCATATTTAATTGGGCGAGCCGCCAAAGCCCACCAAAAACAACGAATAAAAAAGTTCTCAAGACTCCAAGAAAAGTTTTTCGGCGCTTTTAGTTCCTTTCCCATAAACTGCAAGAAAAAAAAAGAAAAGGGTTAAAAGGACTTTTTTGTAATAAATCTGGTGTGTCTCTATTTATATACGACAATGTTCCCAAGTCCATTAAATGAGAGGAGGAGGTAAAGGCGGTCGTTTTTTATTTGGACGACCCTCGGGTTTTGGTTATAAAATGATTAGAAAATTGTTGAAAGATTCTGAAAAACTAATACGGTAGCTTAAAAAGGATATCGTGTATCTTGAAATATCAAACTTCAGATTTCTTCAAAATTTTTATATAAAATGACATAACTTTCCAGATATATCTCACTTTGAAATTAATGATTCCCAACAACACAGTCTGTCTGTACAGTCTCTGTCTGTAACAGTACAGTCTGTTCAACAGTAAAAGTTTGAATCTTGAAAATCTCAACTTTTTTCTCTGTTGAGGGTTTTCAGTTTATTTCATTTGGGCTTTTTTTTCAAAATTTAACTTATTGGAGCATTTGAAAAATTAAATTAATGAAAGGTATATGTATTTAATAAGGAATTGTGAGGGTAAATTAGAAATGCATCCTCGTCCTGGTGCTCGTGAGAAAGAACATTTCATTGGGTTTCCGGTCGAGATACGGGGGCGATTAGTAAGAAGGAAACGGACACCGTTCGGATGTAAAAGAACTACGGTAGCTTCTAAATTTCAGTGAATTCAATTTCATATTCATCTCTCAAGCAAGATTCCAAAACTACAGTATCCTAGAAAAATCTTTAAAAAGAACAAAAGTTTGAAGTAAAAAGAACAAACATGGCTGATAGTGATTAACGTTGTGTGTCCAAAAAGATCAAACAGTACGAAAAGATTCTCAGACAAAAAATTATATTGCCCTACCTCAAAGAAAACGTTGACGGTCACTCACAACCATAACAACAATAACATGGATTTGACCTTGATGCACACTTTATCATCGGGTAGAGGAAAATGTTGTATTTCCAGTTAATTTCATCCCTTACAAGCATCCCTTACAGTTAGGAAAAGCTTTAAACATGGAAACTTGCACTGTTTCGTACCATTCGTTTCAGCTACTTCTGGTTTGAAGTTCATGATATTACTTGTTGTTTCGTAACCTGTTATCTAAACTTTGCAGCCTATTCAGTTTTCAAGTTTTAAGTTTGAAGTTTGAAAAGAGTTACGAGGTTATGAAGATTGGCTTACATGTAGCTGGTCCGACAGGACAAGGCCACCGCAAAATTGTAAGATTAGCCGTGAGCATATTCTGTACTGTTCTTGGTTCTTTTAAAAATCAATGCCATTGATCAGAATATTTTGTTTACAGGGATTAGAATATCTGACAGTAAGAGCTTGAAACTGGGCGAATTTCGGATAACTGTGCACCTCTATGATTTTACGCTTCAATATACTAGTGTCATACTTATTTGTAGCTACGGAAAAGATTTGAAATTTACAATTTGCTGAAAATCAGAATTTAATGAAATCTGAGTTTATCTGATACTTGCAAAAATGATGTGCTAGAAGAAATAACGAACATCTAGAACAGACTTGAAAATATGGTAACTTATGAAAATTTTCAATATGAAATATAAGAAAATGACTTCATGTCTCCTTCCCACACATGACATCTTCAAGAGGGACTACGGTGGGCTCTACAAAGTCCCGCCCCTCTGGTGAGGCTCCCAATGGCTCCCCTAACCCAGAGAGGGAAAAACGAAGGGTTAGCTTTTTATGGGATATCTAAACAAGAGGAAATGCGCGGAAATGTGAAAGTGGAAGATGTGAAAAGGTTCGTGGGTTCTTGTACGAGGGAAATCGAAGGGGAGCAGGTGGGTTATGACTAATAAAATGTACATGAAATAAATGTTTTTAGGAAGAAAGAAAGGGGATGAAAAAGTTTTGTTGAGGAGAATAAAGGAAATGAGAATTGATTCAGCCTATTGAACATCAGAAAGCTTTTCAAAGGTGAAAAATTCGTTATTAAAGCCAAGAAGATACGGTAAAAAGGATAATTAACCTGTATTAAAAGGACCCTTTTTAATAGAAGGATCCCTCTAATAGAAGCCCCCCCCCCCTCCCGAGAGGGGTTTGGAAAAATAGAAGGGCCCCCTCTAATAGACGGGCCCCCGTAACAGACGGGCCCTTTGTAAATAAGGACCCCTCCAGAATGTGTCTTGAAATTTAAAAAAAACCCGTACATTTTTAGTGGAAAACGTACCGGGAATTCCACAATTAGGGCTGGGGAGCCCCCCTTGCGCGCTCCGGAGGTACCATGGAAAAATAGAAGGGCCGGCTCTTCTAGGTTTTACGATACATCGGAAAAGGTATTTGAGAAAAGTAAAAACACCCGGGTTTATTAAAAATATACATTTCTGAAAAATCAAAAATTGACACAATCTAAAAAAAACTTTTGATTCGTAATTTTCATTTATCAATAAAGACCGGTAGCTGTGAAAGAGGTTCTAGCTATTTCTAACTTGATAAAAAATTTAATGATCCTGGATTTTTAAAAGCTTGCCTCCAGAACATAAATTTTAAGGATCCAAAATTCGTTTGAAACCTCTCTATTTTTTGTCTTCCTTCTCTCATTTCAAAATTTTGTATCTAAAGAACAGCTGTCCCTTCCTTTTCCCCCTCATGCCATCTCATTTTTATAGAGATTTATATCTTTTAATTCTCAATTGTTCCTGGAGGATAGAAATTGGTGATTTGAATTGGGTACAGAATAGTTTGAATAATTTAAAACAGTTAAAGTTTGGGTCGTTGCGGTCATAAACACTAGCAAACATTTCCGAAAACTTTATAAACTATGAATGTTTCAAAAGTTGAAATTTTAAAGGGTTCTCAACTTTTGCACAAAAATGATGATCCTAGAAACATAACATTTTGATTGAGCTCTATCTCAATGCTCACCAAACTGTTTTTTTTTTGAAATTCATACTAAATTTGAATTCATTAAATTGTTGAATCTGAAGAGTTCCAGGCTTCCGAATAACTCGGAACTCTAATTCAGATTTTAAATAATCTCTTTCACTGCTCATTTCCAGTTCAAACAGTGGGGTTTTTTTCAACAACGAACTTTCTCACCTCAAAGAGCAACTTTCAATTCTTGGCGAATGTGGAATTTAGGAGCATTTTCAGTGATAGTACGCCTAGCAGAAACTTCCAAAACGTTCAAAACTGCCAAAAAACATAAAAGTCCTAAAGTGCACATTTGTTAGAGTGACACTCTCCAACAAACTGGGCGGTCCGACAGACGGCAAAAGCCAGGCGCCCCAAGGATAATGGCCACACACTAAAAAAAAGTCAAGACGCTCTAATTCAACATAGAGATCTGAAGGGAAGCAGAGAAAAACGACGTTTAGGCTTAGAACTAAAGGAGGCGGAGATTTTGGGGAGAGATGGAGAAGAGGGTGTTCCAAAAAAACGGGGGGTCCTTGGGGTCATAAATTTCACAATGGAGAACACACAGAGACACTATGGCAATCTCCCACTAACCAAATGGAAATCAGAGGAAACATTTCAACGAGTGATGTATGGGGTATTAGGATGAGATGGTTACATCCAAAAAAAAACAGCTGAATCCATTGTTTAAAACAAGTTGTGAAGTTGTGACTGATTGGGTGTGAGGAGGTATTTCGTCGCATCTTCTGAAGAAGGGGGGGGGGAGGTTTTAAAAATAAGAACAGAAGAAATTATGAAGATTGTCATGATCATTTTATCATATTCAAAAGTGCCGCAATTATTTGTGTAATAAAACACATTTCCTGAAAAATATTATTCAATTTTTTATTTTCAAATCATCCACTCATTTTTATTTTGAGAACTTTCGTAGTTTGCTAGAGTCTTTGAGTTTCTTCATTTCTTAATCAAGCACAGGATTTTCAAACGCTATCTTCAAGTTCCAGAAGTTTTGAATATTTAGAACTGGGATTTCAGTGCTAAAAATTCGTAATTAACTCTAAATTTTAATCGTTCTGGAAATCTCGAACTTACTCTACTATTATTATTCGCTACATTTTTAGATTTTCAAATTCCCTTTTATTCTTTACAACTTTTGATCGAATCCTACTGTTTGTGTTTCTTTATATTTTTACGATTCACCCATTCAAAGCAAAACATGACAAATGTACAAATCCAATTTTTATAGTTTTTTTTTGACTTTTTGTTACAATCCAAAGTTGCAGAAGAATACCGTCACACATGTTTGGATTTTTCTAACTGTAAAATTTGAAATTTCTGTATTACCTCACTATCAGTGTTTCCCATATATATCTTTTTATTTCTTGTCGTTTTCAGATTTGAATTTTTTTAATTGTAAAACTGACTTCTTTTTCGAAAAAAAAACTCCACTTCTCCAAATAGGAATCCACTTTCTCAGATTCGTCCCCGCATTTTTAACCACGTTCCACCCATTTTTTACCCCTTTGTGTAGTACTCCAAAAAGTACATTAACTCGATGAGAAATCTTTCTCTCTGTCTAAGCGGTCACATTTTATCGCTCCTTAGATGTCTTTTTTGGCGGCAAGAGTCCCTTCAAGCCAATAAATGTTTTTGTTTGGACCTAAAAGGGGTCTCAAATATCTATGTATTTTATTGAAAATTCAGAAACTCCAGATGTTGTTAATTTTATGAACCCTGAAAAAAAAACTGCTAAACCTAATTTGTTAATGTCATGTTCCACATACCCCAATATTTTATAGGCCCCACGACCTCGTATGCGCACCATAAGAACAATAAATCCAAAAAGAAGAGGCAGTTGTTGTTCTGACTAATGAGTTCGACCATTTGTTCCTCCCTGTCTCCTTCATTTTCTAATTCCTCTCCCGGACCGGGTTAAAACCACATTTAAAAAAACAAGGCCGTGATGATTCTCCGTTATTACCGTACTCATAAAATTAGTGTCTTCTCTCATCGGTATTGTCGCCACGAATCGGACACATTACACACACAGGACATTGGAGAAGGAGGTCTCAAGAATAATGATTTGAACATGATGGAAATAACAAAAAATTAATGCTTTTGAGGGATCAAACAGAATACGACACAGGAAAAATTCAATGATATAGTCTTGATAATCATTAGATTGGTAACTTAAACAGTTTTAAAATTGAAAAGAGTCAAAAAATTTTCAGAATGTTTGTATGTATGAAAAGACTTTGAAAAAACGAAGACTGTGACGAAATACTTTCTTGTTCAATCTAGTTGATTTCAATACCATTTTAGTCTTTTTTAGAGCGACGAATTTTTCCTAATCAAAGTTTTTGGATACTTTAAGTTTGAAACAAGTTATGATGCTAATCTTGACAACCCCCTCCATCCCAAATTTCACCTGTTCTAACTAGAATCACATGATATAAGTTTTCAGGTAACCAACTCTTTAAGAAAAGCTGAAAATTGTATTTTTGAAAATCAGAAAACTTACAAGACCGCTTAACTGTGACTCCGAACTAGATTTTTTTTTTTGAATCTCAATTATCAGAACACAAAGTAATTTTACCTGAAAGTTTCAGACAAATTGGGAAACTATGAGAACTTTTGTTTCAAACGTTAAAAATTGTCTAACTTGCTCAAACTGTGAGCTTCCCAGCTTTTCTTTGTGCCTCATCAGGATCTATTAAAGCAGTTTTTAATCCGTGTTAAATGTTCATACATTTTTCTTTTTCCTCATCATTTACCTATTCCCAGTCTCCCCTCTCTTTTCCGTTTATACATAAATGACCTTTACCGCATGTCTGCGTGCCTTCGGCGCCCATTATTTTTGGGAACGATGTCCGTTGATAAAAAAACTTTACGCATGTACACATGTGTCTATGTCGATGGCCACCCTGTCTGCATTTCTCCTTAAAAAAACAGCTGCCAACAGAAGCGAAGACGAGGGAGAGGAAATCATAAAAACGCGTCAGGTTCCCAGTTTTTTCCGTCTTGGTAAAAATCTGGATATGCCTGTCAATTCAAGGACACTGTTTGTGTGACAATGAGAAAATGAATAAACGATTTGAACAATGAAAATGGAACAGAAAATCATAAAAGGGGTGCTGATCTTTGTAGAGCATTTCAAAAATTCCGGAACTCCCAAAAACTTAGGGAAAATTTCATTAAATGAAATTAGAGCTTCCAAAAATCCAAACAAAACTCTGGAACGTAGTTGGGGACACTTGACATGCATCTAATATAAAATACCGTAAACACTCTATTAGAAGGCCACCCAAGCCGCCAACTTTGAGCCAAAATATCTTGGTTACTGTGAAAGATATCAAAAAGTAGTCAACAAACAAAATATTGTTGATACAATGATAAACATGTTGTTAATTTAAAATGTTTTGATATCTTTTACAGGAACCGAGATATATAAACTCAACGTTTACGGTTTGGGTGGCCTTCTAATAGAGTGTTTACGTTAGTTTGACAAAAATCTAGAAAGATTTTCGGAAGTTCATGTCACAAGAATTTCCTTTTGAAAAACAACGATTATGAGGTCGGTACTTTTTATAGTTAATTTTAAAATATTATTCATTTTTGACAGAAAATTTTTTAGCCCTTCTGAAATCCTATATTTCCCATGTTCGGTCTCCAAAAATGTCCATTTTCGAGCGAGTTATGCGCAAATCTCCGTACGTGACAAGTGTCAACCTCTAATCTCTATTTTTCATATTGAAAAATGTCGCCCTTTCCCTTTAGATTAGTTTTCCAGATACATTTTATTGTTATGATTATAAAATAACCATAGAAACCTTTGAGTCATAATCCCCTCCTCCTCACTAGTTATTTAAAACAAATTTCGTGAAACTTCTGCTTTTCAGTTTCATTCAGAAACGACTCGGAGAGACGAGGTCTACTTCAATGAAACTTTTTCGATGTTTTCCCTTATGAATAGTTTCAAAACTAAGATTATGATTCAAATTAAAATAGTTGATAGAAACCTGAAACTCACAACAAAATAATATTAAACATGAAAGTATGATTTTCGATTTCTTGAGAATAGTGTTTTTATAGATGCAAGAGCCGTTCTATTCATCCTAAGAGTTCATGATGAGCGATTGCTTTCATTCTGTGTTCTCAGAGACTCGCATGAATAGATTATGAGCATATTCTAAGTCTATCCTTTTTGAGAGCTCTTTTACAATTTCTCATTTTCCCCGACTTTTCTCCGAGTTTCTCTTTTCTATCTCGATAACTATTAGGTTCATCTACTACGCTGCTCCTTCTCAAGTATTCTCCTTGCTTTTTTGACAACAAACTTGAAATTCTTCTCTTGATCTTTTGGTCATAGTACACTTGTTCTTTCAATTATAGTGTTTTTGATAGTAACGATTTTCGTTTAGACATGCAAGTCTTCAAACTAGGACATATTTTTGTGGTTTTATGTCGTTATCAACTATTTGAAAATTACTAATTTAGAAGTTTTGGGGAATGGATTTTCGTGAGGTCTGGGAAAACACTCCGCTCATCGACGAGACGATCCCGCACGTCGTCGCAGCGAAGACATGTGCTCAAGATTTGAAACAAGCCGAAGACAATTGTGTAGTAAGATATTTTTGAATTTTGGAGAAAAAATTGAAATTCAAAACACGAACTTCAAAGTCAGAACTTTTAATGACTGCTTTTTTCAGTACCTGTTGGCAACATCAATCTTTTTGCTCGTCCTCAACGTCTTCTCATTGCTCATTTTCAATCGTCACGCGATTGTCAAACTGTACCGTTCCCGCTTCCAACCGCTTCCAAGTTCCGAAACCGCCTCATCGGTCTTCCGTGGAGCGTTCGATCAGGACTCGATCGATTTGAAGGGATGATGAGAGTTTTCAGTTGTTTTGTCTCCCGGAATAATAACAATAAACATCTCATCACTGTGACTTTGAGATGTTTTTTTTGTCGATTTACACCGGCGTTCAGGAAACCTTCAGATTGAAAAACGGCGAGAAATTCAAACTTCCAGACCTGAAAAGGGGCTTGTGCGGAAGAAAATCAAATCTGAATTGCAATTTTTAAGACGTAACGACATTATTTTCGTATCTTTTTTGAGAATTTTTTTTGAACTTGGAAAAGCAACGAAAAATTTAACAAACGAAACGAAGTGAGATTCTCTGACCTAAAAAAAACAACGAAATCAAAATAATACACGCCAGAAATCAAACAGAAGCAATGGGAAGTACACTTTCAGCTGCGACTGGAGCGCTTTCAATGGATTTTTCCGTTGCTGGCTTGTCTTCGGAGGTTTTACGACGTCTGAGAGTGTTATTTAGCAGTCTGACAAGTACTGCATCAGCTTCTAGAAGTGTTAAATCCGTTTTTGATCCCAAAAATCGCTCAGAAAGTTCGGGATCCAGTAATCTGATGAGAACACGTGCTCCACTACGATACGGTCTGAAAAATTTGTTTAAATAAAATAATTAGGTGATCAAATTACTCAGAATTCACTGCTGGAACTTTGCACACGGCATTGAACTTGAGCCCGAAGTCAATATAAACGTCTTCTTGAATGCGGTTCACAATTTTTCCCACCATCAGACGCCCATTGAAATCGCCGAGTTGCATGAATTTTGAGTTGCGTAAAAGAGAAGAAAAGGATTGATTCTGAAAACATGAAAATACTGTGAAATTCGGTGAAAAATGAAAAACCTGAGCCTCGGAAGATTCGGTGACATTATCGACGAAATCTATGATACTTTCGGTGGATGCTTCGGTCGAAAAAGCTCTTCGAACAGCAACTCGACTATTGAACAGTGATCGAAGCATCTGAAAACCAAAAAAATCAGTTTAAATTTCGTCGGAAATTATTATATTTAAAAAAAATTGTTTTTTGGTGTCGTCAGGTTGTGTGTCTATCCGCAATACACCACGCGAGGGTGTTTACGTACTCTGCGCATCGTACCCTTCCAATTAATCTGGACGCCACTCTGATTTCTTTTCAAATTCCAAAAATCATTAACTATTTAAAAAATTGTTAATTTCAGAATGTCAAATCTTCTTCTAAACTTTGCTTGGTTTCTTCTCTTGCCCGTCGCTTGTTTTGCCGAATGGACACTGAATTTAGAATACAGTCTAAATGGTTTGTAGCGAAAAATCGATAATTGTTTAATTTGTACCAAAATTCACAGGATTCACCAATAGCTACGATCTGGGTGTGATTGAGATGCGACGAACGTTCGATGGAAATTTTACAGGAACTTTCAAACCAGCAAAAGACAAAAATTTCGGGCAAAGGTGAGCAAATTTCGAGGTTTTGCGAGAAATGTGTCATATTAAAAAAAAAACCTGGAATTTCGATAATTGAAACGTTTGCAGATTGCTAGATGCTCAAGATGACACCTATTCGGTCAGAGCAAAGTCTTCCAGTCAGCCAGGGCAAACATTTTTGACGACTAGCGATCCTGTAAGTGCAAAATTAAAAGAAAAAGCGGAAATATGAATAAATGTTTCGGATATCTAAACCCGCTTATAAAAATATATTAAATGATTTTTTTTCTATGAGAAAGCGACTGAATGCAGCCTTTCGTAGTTTTTGCGACGTTCACCGCCGCTCTGAGATCCTTTCTCCCATATTTATGCCCACCATCACATATTCTTCGCTTGCCCGTGTAGCCTAGGTGGTCGCGCGCACGGTTCCAAATCGGGGTTCTCGGGTTCGACATCCACCCGAGAGCGAAGTTGTTTCTGTCTGTTTCCCCACTCGACCTCCCTCATGTGTACCTCTTTTGTCTGTCTCTCTGCGTCTCGCTCACTTGGCTGAACTGGTTGCGTGCACAGTTTGAAGCGAGAGGTTAGGGGTTCGAGTCCCACCCAAGGCAACAAATTCCAATCGTGTGATCTTCTCGCAACACGATTGAGCCGACGCCTTGGGAAAGCATTGTCTTTGACCATTTGATCCCACTCTCGCTACTCAATTGGTGATTGTGGTTTGCACATGGTCCACACTTTTTTAGCCTTCTATACGAATATTCGGTCATATCCTGCAAATTTACACGCAGAAGCCGTTAAACAATTCACATTTTCAGTGTCTCTTCCTCCACTCTAATCTCTTCCACGTCTTCTGGATCTCTATCTCTCAGGACAAGCAAGAGCTCCACACGATCACAGTGTTCCCAGATACGGTAGCCTGGAGAAATGACGAGGATGGCAAATACAACTCCCTAGGAAAATCGTGCTCAGAGAAGTCATCTCTTTCTGCCACGTCATCCGGATCCCCAAAAGGAATCGTCCACGTCGTCGGAGAATCCACACTGTCCACTCCAGACACAGCAGCGTTTGTTCAAAAACTGGAGAGAGAGAAACGAGCGAAACAACACGGAGCCGATGCGGATAATCGGAGTTTTATTGCTAAATACGTGAGTTTTCAGAATTTTTAAAATCTGAAAGTTGACAACTTGACTTGAAATTCTACACGAAAGCATGAATGCTCAGATTTTTGAATAGAGGCTCAATTTAAGCCGCTTAAATTATGTTTGAAAATTAGAAAATGTTGAAAGTCTTAATTCTAGCCTTGAATTGAATTTCAAGACTTCAAGGCTTCAACTTCAAAAGACTTCAACTTCAAAATGCTTTTCTTTCTTTCCAGTGGATGTATATTGTACCCGTCGTTCTTTTCGCCGTCATATCGAGTGCTGTGAATCCAGATGCCGGTGCCGAGGGACAAGCTCAATAATGTACTCGCTCATCCGAATTATCTCATAATAATTTTATTTCTCACTGATTTTGCTCTCAATTTTGTTGAAATACGCTTTCAATTATGACTTTAAAACTTCCGAATCGACCTTTCTTTCGGGTAATTCTCTCTAAAATGTTTTGTTTTTTAAATAGCCAATAGAGTGTTAGTTTAATATTAAAAAAAAGAAATGTTGTCTTTATTCTCCTATTCTGTTTTATCTGTCTCTTCGACAGCACAATATCTTCAGTTCTTGCGATTTTTGAGAATTAGTAATCACCCAATTAATTTTTCAGGTTTTCTAGAAGAAACAACAGATATGAACTCACGAAGCTACGATCACGTACCGCCGTTGGCCAGTAATACTGTGACGATAGCGACTTCTTCTACAGCGCAGGTAATTTTATATTTGAAAGGCATTTAAACCTAGAATACTAGCCGAAAATTACCTAATTTTGTCCTAAAATGATCAAGTGTCCTTGCCTAATTACACACGATCAGCTTAAAACGTCCTAAAAAATGTAATAACTAAATTTAGTCCGGTTCGACTTTAAACCTGGAAGTTTTCGGTTCGAAATTCAATCCGAAAATTCATTTTCCAGGCTGTAGGACTTTTATCACGCGAGGAGGAAGGGTCTGTCCATGTTTATCAAAAAAGGCTCAAAATGACACTAAAGTCGCTAAATTTCGCCCAAACCTAACCGCTAAAGTAGGTTCGATAATCATCTCGAAATGGGTCTCGACGTGGCCTAACGAATAGCCCTGACTTAGGCTGAAATAAAGAAAGTTCCGATCAGCGTAAAAATGATAATGTTTTTGTTAGTCTGAACATGACCAAGTTCTTTTGATAACCTAGTTATGCTTAATATTGAATCTCGATAGTTCAAATTGTACGAATCAGGCTAAAATAGACTCAAAAACGACCGATTTTCGTTTAGATCTCATATAACCCCTCGCAACTAATCGATCTTCATTTCCAGGTCCGTCTTCAACCAACAGGCGCTCAACTTCGTCCAATGACCACTGTCCCAATGCGACAGCCTGTACCGATTCGAAAAATAGTCCACGATTCAGGCCAAAGCGGGCCTAGTGGCCCATCGACCTCTACGCTCCCACAATACCAAATGATGCAGCAGGTCAAAGAAGAAATCGTTGACCCGATGGATTACCAGGCCGGCGCTTCTACGTCATCAGGCCCGCTGATAGGCCCCGCTCCCTCTTTTCAACAATACCAACGCGGAGGTCCTAGCTCATCTACAGTTACTTCTGGTGCTTTAGTGATGAGCAATGGAGGAGCAAATAGTATGGCTATGGATCAACCAGCGCCTGTAAATCTTGCTTCGAAGGTGGCCGAAGTTTTTCTCACAGCCGGCCATGCGTTTCAAAAATTGGGCGATTTGACACTACAATTGCACACCACTGCCGATGCAGATGAGAGCAAATGGTCCGAGAAGGAGGTGGATAATTTGAAAAATGCACTGACACGATTTGCACATGAGTTGGATCAGATTAGCACTTGTGTGGCGAGCAGAACGACGTAAGTAGTTTGAAAATTGACCGAAGTGGTTCGAAGTATGTTAAAAGAGTTCTTGAATCTTCAATTCAAAACTAAACAGAATTGACTCGACATCGATGTTTTAGTCTACTATTAGTAAAAATTAGTCGTTAATAGTCCAAAATAGACTTTTAAAGGAGGCCAGACACCAAAAAAAAAAAGTTTTCCTGGTATTTTGCATAGAGAACCCCCATGAGGGGTTGAACTCATGACAGGCAGCTCAGGGCTATAGCGCCGCTACCGGCTGAGCTACGGGGGCGCGAAGGCGCCTGACGACCGATGTTCTACATGAGCGCGGCGCGATTTCGTCCCCCGAACTGTCCCCCGAAATTTTTGCTGTCACGCCTCCTTTAAAATCTAAACAAGTCTGAAAAGAAGCTGAAATAAACAGATATTTTATGAAAGTCAGAATTTTATGACTTTCAAACAAGGTTTGAATTTATACGTTTCCTTCCAGAAAACACATCAAAAATGATATCAAGCGACGACATATCGTAGGAGATGATCAACCACAACCAACAAAACGATTAGCGATGAATGCGACAGGACCATCTGGAACATATACAACTGTGAATTCAGTTGGTATGATGTCAGGACAGAAAAGAACTATCGGACAACCAATGGGAAAAATTATGGCTGCCAGGGTGAGAATTAGTGACGGAGAATTGCATGTAGAATAAACTAAAAATACACAGAAGGAACTCGGGAAATTTTAGTAGTTTTTCGAATTGCGAGCGGAATATTTTTAAAGATACATTTTTAAAGCTTAACTTTGACCATTTTCTGTCCATTTTTAAGACTAACTATAAAAAGGGAACCACAACACCTCGTCAGTTTGGATTTTGATGAAAATTCCAGGATATGTTAAGAATAGCCTATCTAGGACTTCTTGAAAATTTTAGAACACGCTTTCAGCCGAGTTATATCAGTCCAAAGTTTTAGTACTGAAATCCGTTTATTTGCATGCTTTACCACACATTTCATTCCCGAAATCCCTTTGAGAGGAGTTTGAAGAGGGCCTGACATTTAACCGCCTTTTGAATCAGTGGAAAAAGTCGATGGCGTGGTGTCGGGGATGTGGTGGGCGCTAGTAGTTACAAGGCTGTGGGTTCGGACCCTCTAGTGGTTTTTCTTTTTTTTCTTTTGCATTCTTATTTTTCGACATTTCAGGATACCTCTGACATATGTTTCAAATTTTTATCAGTTCAAGAGAGTAGAGACAAAATTTAGAAAAAAAATTTCAAAAAGTTTCAAAAAAAATTTTGAAGTCTTCAATCACTGGAATGTGGTGATTTTGAAGCGCTGTTTTCGGACTTATACGGACCACAATTGAATAATAAAAAGCGTGCAATCAAAAAAATAGATTATCTGTAAGTTGCATAATAATATTTGCAAGCGATTATCACTACATTTTCAAGGAAGTTTTTCAAACTGTCAAAAGTTCGATAAAATCACCCACCCAAATGGTGGAAAAAATTCTCAAACTTTTTCAAAAACATTTTTTTCAGAAAATGTGTGAAATATGATATTACACATAATTCTGAGTATAACACAACAAATTTCATGTTCTGGAACCCCCTGGGAGCGGAGAAAATCGCCTTTGAAAATCGCTATTTTTGCACTGAAAATGCGATTTTTGGTACTGAAACTAGTATAACTCGGCCGAAACTGGCAAGCGTGTTCTAAAATTTTCAGGAATGTCTAGATAGGCTATCCTTGACATATACTGAAAATTTCATCAAAATCCAAACTGACGAGGTGTTGTGGTTCCCTTGTAAGATAGATAAAATGGCCTGAGAGCCTGAAATAAACCGAAAAAAATAATCTTCCACTTTTAAGGCTGTCATCCCAACTGCTCGCTACACCGTCGCCCCAATGTCTTCTACAGGTGGTCCCTCATCGTCCGGACATCATCCTCAATCAACAGTAGTCGTCCAACAATCGAATCAGGCTACATCCGGAATGCCTCAACTCCATTCGCAGAATCCTGGTCCATCTTCTCGTCTGATTCCAACGACGTCAGGTGGATTCCAAAATCCGACGATCACCCGTGTCATGGCGCCACAACAAATGCTTCAAGGAGGTGTGAAAAGTGGCGGTCAGATGCCATTGAAACGTGTCATGACACCCACTAGTAGTGGTAGTATACAAAGCTCTGGAGCTCTCATTTTGGAGCAAACTGATTAATAAGTCTCTCTTAATTAGCTACTTTACTAGAGCCTTGAGTAATATAGCAATCAAAATTTGAAAAAAGAATCGGGAAAAACTGGTTGAAAAAGACGAGTTTCTGAGTTTAAAACGATAATAATTCAATAAAATTGAGAAATTCGATTTTTAGACCGATTTCGGCCCGAAATTATCTGGCTTTGCTTTTTTTGGTTGCTATAATATTCGATTACTTTCTCTCTATCTTCTTTATTTTACTTATTCACCCTTTAATGATTCTGAAATGAAGAGAGGAGAGAAAAAACAAGAAATGGGGAAACTTCGAGACGAATTTCACCAAAATATAACAATTTATTACTCTCGTCCGAAATCAATGTACGTTGCGGCCGAAAATTTACTCAAAATCGCATCGTCGGTCGCACAGCGAGAAAACACAAATTGATGCATGCGCCTTTAAATACCGTACCTCGGACGCTTTTTATTTTGGGCCCTATTTGGCTGTTTTTTTTCTATTTTATAAGAAAAACAAATTAAAGATTCATAAGAATTACGCAAAATTAGACAGAAACAAGCGAAAAAATGAGAGAAATTTGAGAAAATTCGATAAATGTTGAGGTACTGTATTAAAGGCGCGTGCAATACCGTTGTTTTCTAGGCCACAACGTGCATTGATTTCGGACAAGAGTAATAATTGTTCTTAACTACCCCTCGAATTATCCTCTGTAAGCTTCACTCCCCTATTCTGTCTCCAATTCTCGAAAAAATTCAATTAAAACAAAAATTTCTTTCTTATTTGGCAAAAAACTTAATTTTTGAATTCCCGCCCGTTGTCTTTCAAAAAAAAAATTTGAAAAATCCGTTTTTTTTTCAATTTCCTATGCCTCCTTTATCTGTATATCAGTATTAAAAATGCTCCGTTTCTTTTCGCTTCCAGCCAATTTTCCCAAAGTGCCCTTATAACTGTTTTTTTTCAATCTTGCATTTTTTCATACTATTTTACCCAACACGCATTTTTTCACATGTCCGAAACTACCTCTTGTTTTTCTTTTGTCCAGATATGCCCCCCTATTCGTTAAGAAGCACCCGTTTATGTAATAGGCCATTCTCTTCGATATCCACATTGACCTCATTCGTCTTCTGATTTGCCGTTGTCTTTGTTGAATGAAACAATAGAAATTAACATTTTTCAGAATCAAAAAAGTGAATGTAGTCCTGAATATTTTCAGAACTGCCACTTGCCGCCAGTCTAATACCAGCGAGTTGGAGAGAAGCTTGAAAGCAATCTTTTAATAAATTCATAAAGATGCATATTTTTATATTCATCTTATTCTTGTTTTCTTTTTCCTTCCGTTTTTTTTCTAGAGAACAATTCCGTCAGCACATGGGTTCAAGCGAGGGGGTCAGAAAGCGCGCCCCAGTAAATTTAGGAAAAATACTAAATTCGCTGCCGAATTTCGTTGGCAGAGTTTCACAGTTTTAAATGAAGAACGAAAAAGCGCGCCTTGCAACCAGTTGATTTTGAAGAAATAGATCATGATCTAGATCAAACCCGCGTCCACTTTAAATTTATTAAATCTCTTCTGGCCTACGAGTTTGCTGGGGCGCGCTTTCTGACCCCCTCGCTTGAACCCAAGTGCGTCAGACCAAAATTGGTTTTCCATAAAGTTTTTGGATTTGGCAGGTCTGAAACACACAATTTGACAATTTTACAATTAACAATCAGCGTCAAAAAAAGTGAGCAGCGGCGCTACGAGATTGCACAGTAGGTTAGAAACAAATTAGTGTTTTTATCCAACAATCGTAAAAGTTTGTATTGCCAACATTCTAATAATCAACATCACATAGCCACAACAAAAACGACAGTTCAATTTTTTTCAGAAATTTTTGAATTTTTGAAGAAAACACGGTTCATCATTTTCATATGTTTTGACTAGTTTATTTTCCATTTCAGAGTGTTCCTAAACTGATCCGAAAATATGTACATTCTCGGGATTCCTGACTTTTGATCTGTTTTAGAATGAATCATAATCTTGTAATAGAATTAATCCTAATCTTTATAAAAAAATGTTTGATATACAGTGCCGAGAAGTGGTGAGGAGAATTTTTTCGAACATTCACAACTTTGTTCAAAATTGCTCAATCGACTTGAAATTTTGCATGAGAGTAGCTGTAAAATCCAAAAACATATAAAATCGGTTTTTTGAAAATTTCTCATTGTCGGAATTTTCAGAGCAGTTTCAGATGTAACAGTGGTTCGTGAATCCAAAAAAAACTTTTTTCCAGAATTTTTCTGGCTTTGATTTTAGATGTAACATAATTCTCAGTGTCCAAATATGCACCAAAAAAGTTTCGAAGAATTTTGGAAGTCGGGCTCTCGAGTTATGATGCTCTCAAGTTATGACGCTCAAAAGGCATGTGTCGGCATTTTTGCCATAACTCAGCTGAAAATGTATTTTTGATGCTCAAAATTTCACAAATGATGTGTTTTGAGTTGCTTATCAGTTTTATAACAAAAAATTCAATTGTAGAAAACATTTTTTTTTTCATTTTTTCACATCTAGGGAAAATCTCTAAAATCTAAAAATGAGAAAATTTTTTTTCTACAATTGAAAAACTTTTGTTACAATGCTTACCGAAGAGCAATATTTATCTTGAAGAATGGACTAATAGCTCTCGCCTTTTATTTTACTCTGTTATCTCTATTGCTTTTTTTACCCTCCCAACATTGTTATTCATTTCTTGTTGGATTCGCTGTAAAACTATTAAAAATCCGCATTATCTACCGTATTTGTCTGCTATATCAGGCGGGAATATCGCTCTTTTGGGAAGCTTGGCGGAGTTATCACGGAAAATACAGATTTAGTTTATGGTAAAGATCCTTTTAGTTTTTTTGGCAATAACAAATATTTAAAATATTCCATACCTCGTTCCCGGATACCTTATCTGTAAATCTGTTGCATTCTTGGCAAACACCTCGTCTTCTTTCATTCATTGGTCATGGGTAGCCATGCATGCTGCGGTAAGCCAAAAAATCATCTGTTTTCTGAAAGTTGAATTCCAGCGTTTCTGCTGCATATTCTACACACTCCGCTTCCAAACCCATAATTCTTGTCGAACTCGTGCAATATTAATTTCCATTTCATTAATTTCGATGTGTATTCAGTTATGGACTCCGATTTTTATCACAGGGCGACGATTGGATAGTCAAATGGATAGTATGTATTGTGGAGAGGATCCAATGTATACGACGTAATCTGATGACACCTTTTACAAAAAAAAATAGTGAAAATTTAAAAAAATAGTGAAAATTAAAAAACTCACAATTTTTGCCGAGGTTTCTGTACTGACCTGGAAAAGTACATGGGGTTTATCAATTCATTTGGTATAACAAGATCATATTCGATCTGGAAAAAATACTGGAGGACCTGGGTCTCGGAAACATAGTCACATGAAAATAGTGTCAAGTGACAGTTTACGAGTGAGAGTTTGAATTTTGCATAAATTTGGTTCCAATAACAATTTTAGAACTCCTAAAAACGTCGGAGCAAAGCTGTCCATTGTTGTCTTATCTCGGCAACAATCACCCATTTCTTAAATTTCCCGAACTGCAGTTTACAGGTATTTTCGAACTTTTGCGAATTTAAATTTTGAAATGTGAGGAATTTCAATACGTTTTCAGCTAATGGACGAATTCTTCAAATTACGAGATAGCGAGTCGATTAATATAAAGATAATCTTTTTGAGGGTTAGTCACACAAATCGAGTATTGAAAATAACTGAAAATTTTGAAGTTTCTGTTGAAAACAATTATTATAAAAATTTGTATCCTACATTTTTTTTTGAAACTTTCAGATTGATGCGATTGTCTATATTTTGTACCTTATACAATTCCCAATCACATCAATCAATATTTATCTACACCTTTGTTTTTCTGAAGTCCTTTTTTCGTATTTCTTCTGATTTTCACTTTTCTTGTCAAGTACTCTTCGCCTCTATCCTTCAAATAAAACACGCCTCATTTGAGTAAACCTCCTCTCATGATTTTTATTTTTTTTAGCTGAGCAAATATATTCGTCAATTTTTAAACGAATTTCGAAAGAAAAAACCAAATTTACGATAAAATTTGTGAGCCTGGAAGGTTCGAATCTCAATTCGAAAATCGTTAATCTAATTTTCAAAATTAAAAACAGTTGTTATTAGCTGAAGAGTGAAAGGCGGAGCGACGAAATTTCGCCTTTCTTGATTTCCAGTTCCAGAAAAAACAGAAATCATTTTTGTCATTTCTTTTTAATTTTTAGGGTCGACACTCGCGGAAAAATGAATTTCATGTCTTCAACTGACCCAATTATGGTCCGTCACGGAAGACGAAGTACCAGAAAAAAGAGGAACTCGTTATTGGGGTAATAACATTTTTGCGCACATTTTTCTTTGAGTTTTTGTCTTTTTTTGGTACTTAGAATCACTAAAACTTTCAGAGAGAACATGTATTACAACAAGTAAGTTTTCGAACTTTTTCAATTTGTTGTGGCGTTTCTGGAATATTTTCGGACTGTAAAATATTTTTTTTGGAAAGAAAAGTTTCCGACCAAAATTGTTTCCGAATTCCTAAATAGGTCCCGTGTGAATCAAATTTCCAAAAAATGCATAAAACGGATATTCCTTTTTTGCTCGAGAAAAATTTCAAAAGATGTATTTTTCCAATTTCTCGAGGTTTCGAATTTCTAGAAGACGACGTTTATTTTTCTAGTCATCGTTTTGAAAAACGGAAACGAAAATTTTTTTGATTTTTGGAATTTCCGTTTTATTCAAAGCATAATAGTAATGCTTCCTGAAAACATAAATGAAAATCCATACGATTTTTTGAATTTTGGAAAATATGATTTCGCTATGTTTTACGCAATTTCCCATTATAAATGAAGTTTCAGCTCAACATTCATGACTTACTACAACGCTGTGGACAATTTTGGAAGTTTGGAAAGTGAGTTTATTGAAGTTTTCGGTTCAAAGTTAAAAATTCATTTTAGAAAATTTGCGGAACAAAAATAATTAAAATTCGCTGTAACTCGTTTATCCCTAGGCCGAGACAAAAATCTTGAAATTTATATCACCGATTTTTCAGAAGTTGTTTATTCTCAAACATTTGAATCAGACCCGTTTTCTCTTCTTTTTTCCTCCCAACATTTCTTTTTTTTTCTTATGAATTCTAAAACACTAATAATGAAAGAAAAGTTGTTCTTCTTCTCATTGCTCATCTCACTTGAAGTGACTGCTGTCTGACATGTGATGTTTCAGAAATGAGAAAAGAAAAGAGAAAGGGAACAAAAATACATGAAACCTAAGAATAAGAAAAAAGATAGAGAAAAGTTGAAGATCGGCTAGAAAAATGGGGAAAGGACAAAGAAAAGTAGCCCCGCGCGAAATTTGATCTACCCTGTTGTGTTACAAAATGAACCGAGGTGCCGGAAATTGCATTTTAAACATCAAAACGCTTTTGTCCCTATTCTTTTCTTGTTCTCCCCCATTGATATACAAAAATCTAGATGAAGCTTTTTTTTCGATTTTTTTTCTCAAGAGTTTTCTCAAACTTTTGAAATATTTTAGCATAAAATTTTATAGATTTTCAAGAATGATGGATCAATGCAATTTGCAGCAGTGATTCATTTTTTGTTTATAGTTTTAAAAAAAACTTTAATTTTAAAAAATAACCTTGATTTTTCTAAAACTGGAAATTATTGAATTCTTAATTCATTTTTGTATTCTAAACATATGAATTTCTGAGTTTCTGTGTCTTTGAATTTTTGAATATCTGGTTTTTTTGGAATTTCCCTATGATTTTCTTGCATAATTTCAAGCATTTCGTTTAATTCTTTTCAGGTACCCTCTTTCTTCCTTGCACTGGGATCACTAATTTTTATTCTCTTTTTCTCGCAAGAAAACTTTGAGAACGTGACATTGTATGTAATATTCTAATAGCTCATTTCTATTCAAAAATAATGCGAGAAAATGGGTAACCTAATATCCTAGTGTATGTTACAAAACTTTTTTGTGAACAAAGTTTTCAATTGAAAAAAAAAAACAAAACATTCTCTTGAATCAATCAAAAACTCGTTTGGGGCTCAAAAATAAAAATATATGAAAGTAAAATTTTTTTTCAAGTTTTTCATCTGTTCTTATGGTTTTTTTCGATTTTTTAAGAAACTATCAAATATAGTGTTTTCAACATAACTGTTCCTTTTGCAATCGTAACTTATATACTTTGATAATAAAATAGTAAAACTTTTTAGAGCCAAGTTTAAAATCTGGGAGGACGATAAACACACTTCGAGAGAATTTTAAGGGATGTTTTCAGCCAAAAATGTGTTCTCACCGTTGGCAAGTGAACGGATGCGTCGACGACCCAGTCAGGTAGGTCAAATGTTTTTTGCGTTTACAGTACTTTCACAGTGTAACCTTCTAATTCCTTTTTGGAATATCTGAGTTTTAGAGTTGTCTGAAAATTTTGAAGTTGTTGCAACTTCTGCACTTTTTGGAATATTCCAATTCCCTTTTTTGTATTTCTTCTATCCTATCAAATTATTATGGATGCACTCAAAAAGTAGATCCATGACAAGAAATATGTTGAGAGCGTTTTGATATTAATGAAAAATTCTTTTTATATTTTTTGGTCATTTCCAACGATGGGGTTGTCTTGAAAAGTCATTTTGAATATGTTTTTAGAGTTGAATGGAATTATTTGAGTTTTTTTGAAGCCTCGTTTTTAAAAACAGTAAATCTTTTTTTAACACAAAAATGGCTGTCTTTTTTCATTTTCCCAATAATTACATCACATGTAGATCTTTGAAAATCTAAAGCAAAGAAATGCTTTAAAAAACAGAAAAAGACAGAAAAAGAATGAAAAAAGAAAGAGAATAATTAATGGAATGGAAATTCATTATTCTTCTGTCATCTCATTTTCTCATTTTTTATGACTAATTTCTACTTTATATAAAAATGACCCAATAAATACTTCAAATACTTTTCAAACTTTTTTTGCTGTCTTTCAGTTTCTCTGATCAATTTTATGTTTTGTTATTTTTTTTTTGCAATTCAAAATTTCAAAACTAGATGTTGAATGCAACATCCAAATGATCATGAATCAGCTGAAAAACGAAAAATTTTCCAGATCCTTTCCTTCTTTTTCTATGATTTCACCAAAATTTCTTTAGATCAGATTACACAAGGCATGAAACAAAACGGAAAACGTTTTGTTTTATTTTACTTCACAATTTCTTTTTTCGCGAAGCATTTTTTTCAAATCTGGAGAGACAGAAAAAAAATGACGAGATAAGGCCATTTGTGGCCGATTCTCTGACGTTACAAGTCACTTTATAGAACTGTCAAGAACGGTTTGTTCCATAAGTATTGAGGACGTTGAATATAAAATTTGTACGATAATATGAATAATTTCAAGCATAAAGAATGAAAACTGAATGTCGTTTCTCTTTCAATTCGCCTGCCTTTTTTTATTTTCCTTCTCCATTTTATGGAAAATTTGCAATGGGAAAGGGGAACAAAAAAGAAGATATTGAATCCAGAAAATAAAAAGGGAAATGTATTCCTTCCCTTTTTCTCCTTTTTTTTCGTCTTCTTGTTCCATCTTCCACCACTTGGTTCTGGGACAAGTGTCTTTTTCTGGAGTCGTATTTTTCTATTTTCCTTTGAATTTCAGTTTTTTCGGATATTTCTTAGAGTAGTTTGCTTTCAGAATACATAAATAAATTTTGAAGTCATTTTTATCTCATTAAAAAATCAAACTCAATTAATTTATGAAATACCTTTTTTGGCCTGTAAGAAGTTATTTATAAAACCTGTTTCTCTGAAAATTGAAACTTCAGATTCCGATAAAGTTCAATTTTTTTGAAGTGTCGGAAATTTTTCTAAAAGTACTATGTGATTCCAAAAATTCCATTGATCTGTACTTCCCAAAATTTGAACAGGATTCTAATTTCAGATTTACAAAAGTGAGTTGTAAATTTGAGTATCCGGTTTTCCGAGATTAACATCGGAAATTTTTCATCTTGGAATGCAATATTCTCATTCCAGAGGC